AAAGTACTTAAATGATTACTCAACCCTTGGGACCGTGTTGTGATGTGACAACACTGGCCCCGACCATTTTGTGAAGAGAAAAGCAAGGGGAGACATGGTAGCAGTGTTTCAATAGTTGAGGGGCTGCCACAGAGACGAGGGGGGGTCAACATATTTCCCAAAGCACCTGTAAGCCAGACAAGGAATAATGGATGGAAACTGAACAAGGAGAGATTCAACCTGGAAATAAGGAGAGTTTTTCTGACAGTGACAACAATCAATCAATGGAACAGAAGTTGCCTTTGGAAATTGTGGGAACTTCATCACTGGAAGCTTTTCAAGAAGAGATTGGACTGCCATTTGTCGGCAATGATGTAGGGTCTCCTGCTTGGGCAGGGGGGTTGGACTAGATGACCTACAAGGTCCCTTCCAACTCTGTTAATCTGTAATTGTGGTTGTGGTTTAGCAGGGTGGGTAAATGGAAGCATTAGTTATGCCACCTCATACACTGGCATAATTTTGTCTTTACTCTTTTGGTTGCTGCCACAGGACGCTTGAGGATTCCTTCATCCTATCTATCGTTTTTCTCCTATGCGGCTGTAAAGATGTCACCCATTGTATACTTATAATGTATATTGCAAAACACTATATATGCTGGTATCATTCTATTTATTCATTTTTGGGCCCTTCTGACAATTAATCCTGTTCTTAACAGCTTAGCTTCTCTCTACTCAAGTTTGGAGCCAACTGCGGATTGAATGAGGATCCCTCTGTATATATAATTTTTAAATAAGTTACAACATAAAAGAACTTTATAGAACCCTCAATTGTTCTCCCAATTGACAAAGAGAGAGGAGAGAGGAAGAGAGAGGGAGGGGGGAGGGAGAGAGAGGAGAGAGAGCTTCCAAAATCTTACCTCGAAAACTGCAGGGATTTGTGTAGGTAGTTGTCAGGAGTCAAAATTGAATGGGAGGGACCCAACATTTGTTTTTTTTTAAGTGCCTTAGCCAAACCTTAACCTGACAATTGCCACTTAATTGCATTTTTTTTTGTAAGAAGTTGCATTTACACTTTCAGTTGAGGTGTCCCTTCAGTCTAATTACAGATAGAAAGAAATGCATGTGTAATGTGTACCTGAGATATACTTATTTACCTATATTAGAATAATGAACATACTTTTAAAAATTATTTTATTTGTAAAATGGCTCTAGGTAAATACATAAATACTTATGAATTTATTTTTTTGGGGGGGGAGTTCTCTCAGCTAAGGATAGTATGTCAATTACTATTCTACTTCTATCACATACTCTTTCCTGATGTTTCAGGCCTGAAATGCGCACCCAAATTTCATTCTGTGAGAATGCAGGTAGTCCTTGACTTATGACTAGATGCTTAGCAACCATTTGAAATTACAACAGACTCCCCAAAATGGACTTACAACCTGATTCAATGTTCCAATGTCCTTTCTCCCCTCTATCATCACATGACTGTATTTTGGGTCCTTAGGGTTGAATTTGCACAGCCTTGTGCAGTGTGACTGCAATTTGTGAAATTTTTGCTGGAAACTGGCATTTACTTCCAATTTTATTTGCTTAACAATTGCTGCAAAAAGGTCATAAAATCAGCGTGGTCACCTGGTAACCTGCTTTACGACTGTCACGACTTACGACCAAAATTGTGGGCTCAAATATGGTCATGTCAAGGACGATCTGTATATATGCCTTGACTAAAAACTTGGAATGGAATGGAATGTGAATTCCACCTGAATGGAAATGTGACTACTCACACTAAAGTTCATTATAAGCCAAGCAAATCCTACTAAATCCTAATCTCTTACATCAATATTTCTCAATTTTAGCAACTTTAAGATACTGGCTGGGGAATCCTGAGAATTGAAATCCTTTAAATTGCTGGTGCTTGGGAACACTAATGTACATATCCTATGTTCTGTGGGGACCATTGGAAAAATACCATTGCAAATTATCATCATAATCATCAATAATTAACTTGCCTTAGAAGTATGTTAGCTTCATCTGAATGAAATCTAATAATGTTTACTACCTGTTGACATCCTTGGAACGCAAGTTACTTCTCCATTGGTCATTTCAATTTTGATGGAATTTAAAGACCTTTATTTCTTCTGCTTCTGAGATGACTTAGTTTTTTGCATACAGAATAACAGAGTTGGAAGTGACCTTGGATATCTACTCCAGCCCCCTGCTGGAGATCCTATATTATTCCAGACAAATGATTGTCCAATTTCTTCTTAAAATCCTCCAGTGTTTGAACACCCACAACTTCTGAAGGGAAGCCATTCCACTGATTAATTATTCTCACTGACAAGGAAATTTCTTTTTAATTCTTGGTTGTATTTCTCTTTGATAAATTTCAATCTGTTACTTCTTGTCTTCACCTCAGATGCTTAGTCTCCCTCTTTGTGACAGCTTCTCAAATATGTCACAAATCATGCCACCTCTAGTTCTCCTCTTTGTCCATTCTTCAGTACTGGCTTTTCACCAGTTAGTGCCAATATGGTGTATCTAAATAAATTTCTACTTTGAGAGAACAGAATGCCTTGGAGTTCAATTTGTGATGGATGCATTACTTGGAACCTGATCATTGTATCTGATCACATTATCAGAATTATAATCATCATATCCCTCAGAAACGATAATCACCAATTCAGATAGCTGTAAAAAGAGCAAAAAGTCATAGAGAGCATAAGACAATGAGTGGGAAATATTCAAAATGATACTAACTTCTATGATCAAAGGAACAAGAACAACTCCACACAATTGGGCTTATATCCTATTTGTGGGCTTGCCATAAATGTCTAATTGGCCATTGTAGCAAATAGGAGTCATTGGATCATCTGTGGATAATAGTTTAATCCAATGTAGAACACTTTCTGTGGCATTGGGGGGCGGGATGGATGGTGGGTGGGAAGGTTCAAAAAAGTTGAATTGGTGATTATGGCTGGAAGATCAATGCCTCACCACTTTTGAACATGCATATATAAAAATACTGAACTTCAATCACACTGCCGCAATCCCTATCTTGCCTTTTTTAAAATTTCCCCTACAAATGCCACTAAATACTTTTTCACTACTTAATTTTGAAATCTTTTTTCAGTGTTATGTATAACAGAACATCACAACTGAATCTTCATTTTGATGCATGACTGGACTGTTTTTCACAGAAGCATCATACAAACCTAAAAGAAATAATGACACCTTGAAAAGCAACAGTAGAGGATCCTTCTCTCTCTAGCTCCTGCCCATCAATCATGGTCAGCATTATGGGCTGCCACATGGAAGAGCTGAAATTGTAGGCTGTCAAAAAGGCAGAGTCAATGAAATGTCACAAATGCATATGAGTGCCCAAGGCTGGTGAGGAAATGAGTCACTAATAGAATTTAAAAAGAAAATAGCAGCAACTGGCCAGCTTGAGATTCAGGGAAGTTTGTAATCATTCTGCAGCTGAAGTTAATGGTGCTGCAAAGGAATAACAGCTAAGAGAGAAAAAAAGAATAAAATAATAAGAGCTAGGAATCAAATTGTACATAGAGCTAAGAATCAGACTGTGCATAGTCAAGTTAACAGTCAGAATACCATTGGCTGGCTAAATTATTTATGCAGGGAAGAAACAATAGTAATAATGATAACAATGATCACAGTAACAAGCTGTTTGATGTCCTACTACCAATGCTCTAAGCCAGAGAGAAACTACAGTATATATTTATCTGCTGTCTGCCCTCCATCCCCAACCCCCAAACTCCCCATTTAAAACTCAGTACTGCTGCTATCATATTTTTCCCTAGGGGAAAAAAGCAAAGTAGACTTTAAAAACAACAACATAGATGGCATGTTCTAGATGTAAGGGCAAGGATAGCAGAGATAGTTGTCCTTGACTTATAATTAGACCCAAAATTTCCATTATTAAGCAAGCCAATTGTTAATTGAGTTTTGCTCCCTTCGCTTACCTTTCTTGCCACAGTTGTTAAGTGAAT